AGATTGACTCATTTAGTTTTGGCTCACTCTTCTCCCCCATTTAAATCATTTGTGTTATTAGAATTCTGCTTTTTAAGGGCTGACCCATGGCTCACTTGGGAGAGTGTGGTGCTGATAACACCAAGGCCATGGGTTCAGATCCCTATATAGAGATGACTGGTTAGCTCACTTGGGAGAGCGTGGTGCTAACAACACCAAGTCAAGGGTTACGATCCCCATACTGGTCATCTTTAAAAAACACACACACACACACAAAAAAAAAACAACTGCTTTTTAAAAGTGCTCAATGCACAACCTTGTAACACCAAGGTCAAGGGTTTGGATTCCTGTATCAGCCAGCCACAAAAAAAATAAATAAGTAAAATTAAAGTGCTCTATTTTTCTTGGTGTTTTAACCTTAGGAAAAACCTGAATCATCTAGGAAGAATTTAGAACACATGTATCTGATAATAGCCAATGTGTTTCTTTATTGGTCCAAATAAAGTCTAGTTACAGTTTTGATCTTCACTCTTGGTAGATTCAGTTGTGAGTAGAGTAAGTTGGGAATCTGTTTTGCTGTAAGACTCATTTCTGAAAGTCACCTGCTTCCCAGTGGAGAGTAACCTTTGGCTTTGGAACAACCTGTGCTTAGGAGCAGCTAATCCTCAGTTTTACTCGGGTTCAGCAGCCACCAAATTGCTGATTATCTAACTTATCTGAATTGCATTTAACCCTTTTCTGGAATTAGGGTAAAGATTCTTGTCACCTGCTTCTCTCACTTTGGATGCAGGATTTATGTATTTATGTATTATGATTATCGTGAAGAGTTTAAAAGTTTGTGAATAGGCTTCATATATGCAGATAATTTGGGGGTGGGGTACGTCTGGCCAGTACAGGGATCCAATCCCCTTTTTTTTTTTTTTTAAAAAAAAAGATGACCGGTAAGGGGATCTTAACCCTTGATTTGGTGTTGTCAGCACCACGCTCAGCCAGTGAGCGAACCGGCCATCCCTATATGGGATCCGAACCCGGGGCCTTGGTGTTATCAGCACCGCACTCTCCCAAGTGAGCCACCGGGCCGGCCCATGGGATCCAATCCCTTGACCTTGGTGTTATAACACTGTTCTCTAACCAACTGAGCTCACTGGCCAGCCTTGTGTAGATAATTTTGTAACTGCTTTCATGAAAAAAGTAGCACATTAGATTCATTGTGATTTTTTTTTGGGGGGGGGGGATAGGGATGGGCTGCTGGCCAGTACAGAGATCTGAACCCTTGACCTTGGTGTTATATGATTCACTGTGATTTTTAAGAATAAACTCTTACTGGGTAAATGGAATTGGTCACTAAGGTATTCTACCAGCACAGTCCTTAAGAAACCCAGAGGATGAGTGGTATGGGGCAGATGGTACCACAGGAGATGCAGTGACTGCCTTTAGGGAGTGCTTATAGTGTCATCTGGATCTCTGTGCAGGTCTTATTCTGAAATCTGAGGGGCTCAGAGATAGCCAAGAGGAAAATTTCCTGCTGATTTAAACCCCCTTGGGTTTTCCAAATTGGTATCTAATGCATTTGCAGAAGCACTGCAACTGCTAATAGCTCCCATGGCCTCATCTGGCCAGCCAGCAACAGGCTACAAATTGATCTTTGTACAAGGTGTTTGTTTATAATTTATGGAGCTGATAGGAAGGCAGAGCCATCTGCTCCTTCAGGCATCAGTATTTCTAACCCCTCCCATTCCCTGCTAGGGCATTTTCACTTGGAAATCATTTCTAATTGGGAGAAGATTACATTGCAGAGTCCAGAACATGGATTCCTGCTGTCTCCTACATCATTTTTTCTCCCCCTGGAGCTGCTTCCTGAAACTCTTAAGCAGTTTTGATTTGAAGATCCTTTCTTTCCTAACCTTTATTTTCATTCTTAGCTGACCAACTTAACTGCCCCATCATCCTTTCCAATATGTTTGCCTTTAAGTGAAAGCCTGTTTGCTAGAGCTACAGCTCAGGGATCAAGAACTGTTTGGTAAGTGTGGTGCCAGTTTAGCAGCATCAGAGACACCTGGGAATTCATTAGAAATGCAAATTCTCAGGCCCTGCCTGAGCAGTCTGTGTTTTTAATAAGCCTTCCAGGAGATCCTGATACAATTTGGCTAAAATTTGTGAACTGCTGTAGTATGCAAGGTATGGAGCACAACAAAGATTTCTAGTGGATTGTAAGCTGTCAGTGTCTTAGGCTCTACCTGACCTTTTCCTCTCTACCTGCTATACTATCATTTAATCCAAAAAGGATGAGTTGTCCTTCGGCATTAGTACGTTATTTTCCTATGGCCCAAGCAAACAAGTAATAGAGATCTAAGAAATCTCTCCCTGTATAAATTAACTCATCAAAATTTCAGCCTTATGAGAGGAAGCTGCACAAGTCAATTGAAGCAGTGATCACTCACCTTTGTAACTGAACATTTCCACTTCCGCGTGGGAAATTAAAAGACGACAAGCAGCAAATGTAAGTTAGTAGTTGGAGCTTTGAAATAAAAATGAAATTGTAAACACACTACCCAGTGCTCGCTGAAATGAAGCTACCAGATCACTCTGTGCCTACCACATCCCCTTCATTAGGGTAGAAGTGAAGCCCTAGATCACTAGCTGCAAAATTTCAGAAACTGAATATGCTGCTGGAGAAGCTGTTATAATTTTCAGCATTCTTTTTTCATTTGTCATTTGCATATCTCTGAGCTCATTGAAGTAACAGGGAGCAGTTATGAAATTGGAGCCGGGGAAGGGGGCAAAATTTGGGAGATGGCCATTGACTTGGAATCATAATATAATACAAACACAAACACAGTAGCCTGGATTTGAGGCTGACAAAATGGTTTTTGTCTATATGCCCAGTTTTTCAATGGCTTAGAGCCAAGCTTTCCAGAGGAAGGAAAAGCTTACTTGTGCTCTCCTCCCTACCCCTCATCCCAATAAATGGTGAAATGCTTTTTTTATGTTGGTGGTGAGTTTTCAGGGTCATTGTAGGCTTCTGTGTGTTTAACCAAAATACATATTAATGCACATGACCAGGATCTATGTAACAGCAAGATAGAAAATCCTACTTTGATAAAATACCCACCATGCATGTTTGAGACATTAAATGTGGGTAAAATGGTAACCATGCAAAGCTGTCTTAAAATCCATAAGGTCCTATCTCCTTCCCTATTTATTTCATGTCCTACTAATATTTATGCTTTCTTTATTGTCTTTCCCTGCCTTTGGTGGTTAGAGTCTAATTGCTAGTTTCTTTTTATCTTTCTGAGGGTTGTTCCAACCTCAAAATTAGAAAACCAAGATGGACTCACTCCTGAAGCTTCCCCCAGTTCCTTTTGTTCTATATCCCCAACAGGAATCATGTGTCAATCAGAGAAGAAGGGGGAGATTGTCATTTTTTTGGCAAGGGACTTGGGACCCTGAGTAAGGAGCAGACGGTCCCAGTGCTAACTAGATAAATCTAGCCATACAGCCTAGAGCAGATGGTGGGTTGGGAGCTGAGCAGTACAGAGGCTTAATGGTGATAGCAATGAGTATTTGGATGTCATTATTTTATTAGTTAGCAAACAGAACCATCCTTGTGGTCCCTCCTCAGTATTATGTGTAATGATGTTGTAGGTGTCAGCCCCCAAAAGTTGGCACAATGGCCTAATCAGTGTGTTCTGATGTCTTTTTTGATCTATTCTGTCATCTCTGCACAGCTTCACTAACAACACACATGGGAAGGGAACAAACTGCCTGTGCCCGTGATGTGGTCACTCTTGTTCTAGGCTTGCATCAAGGGTAAGCCACTTCCTCCTGGTAAGGAGTCACATAGTGGGACTTGGAGAGGGATTCAAATGAAAACTAAAACAAGGCATGCCAGACTCAGTCCCAGTGCTGGCTGAAGTCTCCTTAGTCCCATCATGTGGATGGATTCTCCTCACCTGCAGACATTCCTCCACATCCTTCCCCCACCACCCCAATCCCAATCCTGCTACCTCAGCAGGCTGAGTCTGTTGCCTGGATGACCTTGTGCTTTATTCTCAGTAACTGCTGAGTGCAGACTAGGAGACTGGGACTGCTCGTGGACACTGGCTTATGATATGGAGAAGGCATAGAGCATAGTAAGAAATGAAAAGAGCTGCAGCCATCTAACCAGGGCTGGGCTTTGTCTCTTTTGGTCCTTTTTTTGTGGAATTAGGAATTAGTATTAGCAAGAAGCTGTCCAGAAGACTAAAGTCTCTAAATGTTCCAGTTCTCTTTCTCTTAAACGAGAAAGACACGAATTTGTGAAATGTCTTCCTTTTCTAAGGTCACATAGCAGGGATTGAGTAGGATCCCCACCCCAAGAAAGCTCTACTTGTATTGCCTTTTTCTTGGAATCAGCGGGTTTACATTTTCACTCATTTTAGTTTTGATCTTTTGGACTATAACAGCTGTTGAGTCTCTTTCCAGGAACAATTGTTAATAACTTTTTCCTTGGGCCGGCCCGTGGCTCACTCGGGAGAGTGCGGGGCTGATAACACCAAGGCCACGGGTTCGGATCCCATATAGGGATGGCCGGTTCGCTCACTGGCTGAGCGTGGTGCTGACAACGCCAAGCCAGGGGTTGAGATCCCCTTACCGGTCATCTTTTAAAAAAATAAAAAAATAAAAAAATTAACTTTTTCCTTATCTAATCCCTCGAATGATGTTTCCTAAGTGTGAACTAAGACTCAGTAAAAAAATAAAATAATTAACTTTTTCCTTATCTAATCCCTCGAATGATGTTTCCTAAGTGTGAACTAAGACTCAGCAGGTGGTTGTGGTGGTGTTGACTCTCCTAGTTTTCTATTAAAGTGAAAAGGTATATCTTTCTGCCTCTTTTGTTTCTTGTTCCATGCATTTTAGTTTGAATGACAAGGCTTCTATTCAGGCCCCTAGGAAGGCCCCAAAATGTCTTGGCCCCAGAATTTTTTCACAGCATCAACTCCATTCTTTCTTAACCTCTTTTCTTTCTTTGTCTGATACAGCCTCCGTGAATGTGCTGGTGCAGAATTGCAAGATCTACAATGATGCCAGCTGTGACATTTCTGCAGATGGCCAGCTCCTGGCAGCTTTCATCCCTAGCAGCCAGAGGGGCTTTCCCGATGAAGGCATCCTGGCAGTGTACTCCCTGGCCCCCCATAACCTGGGCGAGATGCTCTACACCAAGCGATTTGGTAAGGGATAGGAAGCCACCCTAATGACAGAGGGATGCTGGTGCCTTGGCATGGGCATTCCTACATGAGGCGTGGCTTGGGTGGGAGTAATGGTCACATACTGCCCCCTGCCTTCACTGGGGCACAGGCCAGAGAAAGATTGCTTTGCAGAAGTCCTGGCCAGTAGCATTGCAGAAGAATCTCAGAATAAGAGTCCGTCTTGCTACAGTAACATCACTGGCATGCTCCTGTTATGATGGCCAGGAATAAAGGAGGAGCCTTTTAGTCATGGCTTGGGAAACTGAATACACACATACAACGTTAGACAGTTGGGCATTTTACATTAAAAGCCCCCACAAAATCTGTGTGCTCTTTGATCCAGCAATCCCAGAAAACTATACAAAGATTTACATACAGGTATGTTCACAGCAGTGTTTTTGTTGCTTTACAAGTTAAAGAGTTGCTTAAATAAATGGTGCAGTGGTAGGATAGAATTCAATTGGCCTTTAAAATGCTCTTTCAGAAGAATATTTAATGATGGAAAAATGTTCAAAATGTATTAAGTGAAAAAAATAGATTTCAAAATGGTATTTACAGTGATACCAATTTTTTAAAAAGGTGGTTATATAATAACAATGGTTAACATTTATTAAGTACTTTCTGTATGTTGAACACACTACTCAACGTATACATGCCTTCTCATTATACTCTTCACTACAATCCTATGAGATAACCCCCCAGGATGACCAAACAAATATGAAGATTGGAGAAAAGACTGAGTGAAAGTTGTCTTCTTGGCAAGAACTCTGGGAAATGTCTCTCTGTTCTCTTGGCCTTCAGGTCCCAATGCCATTTCAGTGAGCCTGTCCCCAATGGGCCGATATGTAATGGTGGGCTTGGCTTCACGAAGGATCCTGCTGCACCCCTCCACAGAGCACATGGTGGCCCAGGTCTTCAGGCTGCAACAGGCCCATGGTGGCGAGACCTCCATGAGGGTGAGTGCCATTGCTTGTGCCCCTACTATATGGCAGCTCTCCTAGGCTTGGCAGGACAATGAAGGATAATAGTGTGACCTCCCAGTCAGGACCAGAGCTATCCTAGTCACAAGGAATGAGAAAGGGCTCCAGTCCACCTATCCATGACTAGCAGGCTTACTTTTGCAAGCTCTGGACTATTAAAAGGCAGGGACTTTCTCACACTCTGGATTATGAACTGAGTTCCCCAGAGGCCTGAAAATATCTTCAGGTAAAGAATAAATTGAATACTTCCTTACCTCAATATGAAACTTTTAGTCTGGGGATACATCAAGGATGCAATGAAATATCTATTTTTATTAAAACTTTTTTTTTTTTTGAGGAAGCAAGCTATGAAAAGTAATAGTATACCATGAAATGTTGTCTTTTGTGGGTTATAGTCATGATGGAAGATGAGGACTGTAGGCCACTGCTGTGCTCTGAGTTGTCCCATCCATTTTCAGCAGTGGAGAAAAGGTCCTGTTTAGGATCCTCTCTTATCAGAGGTACACCTCTCTTGTACTGCCAGAAAAGCCTTCTGGACATTATATGGGTAGTGGCTTTTTGCACTCAACCAGAATAGTGTGCCTGATTGAGTTTCCCACATCCCATGAGGGCTCATTTGGCCACGTTTTTGGCAAGGGGAGTCGAGCATTTGAACAGTTCTATAATTAGATAGTATTTAAGTTCTGTCTCAAGCTAAGAACCTGTGAATTCCCTTAGTACTTTGTGTATTCTGTGCCACTTACAGTGTGATGCACTTGTTGGTATATTTTCTTGAGTTATATAGTATATATGTTTAATCCACCCAATTAGGTTCAGTGTAAGTTCCTTAGGGGCATATCCTCCAGGGTCCCTCATTTAGTGCTACGCATGTAGATACTTGTTGAATGCTGCCTGGAATGGGAAGCATTTGTTTTAAAGAAAAAACTAGAGGGTAGGACCCAATATATACCAAGTGATGGAAAGTGGGTGGCTGGGTGTGGTCCTTCCTTCTTCAGCCTTCTCTTCCTCCTGTCTCCTACAGATATCCTCTATCCTGCTATACTGAACCACTTTCCAAGCTCTTTGAATTTGATAATGCACCTTCTTACCAGGGTACCTTTATCAGGAATGCCCTCCTGTCAGCATCTCCAACTGCATGAAAGCTCTTCCCTTTCTGTGGCACCTTCCTTAACATAATTAATCATTCCCTCCTTGTGCCACCGCTGTACCTACAACACACTCTTGTATTAATATTTGTCACACCAAACTGCACTTGTTTGTTCTCAGGCCGTTCTCCTCTCCTGAACTGTGAGCTCCTTGAGAGCAAAGACCACATCTATTTTATCTTTATAAGGTCCAAGTACCTAATAGGGAACCTGAATTTAGTAAAAACTGAATGAACGAAAGAGAATTTTATGAAAAGTATCCTCCTTATCACTTCTAGGTGATAACTAGCAGAACCAATGATGGGTGACATCATGTCCCACCAGCCTCTGATGGGGCAGAAACAAGGCATTCTTTGCTCTTGACATCACGGTGACAGGAAAGTTCTGATTCTTGAATTCCATATGACTCTGGAAATATTTGACACTGGGTGAACAGGAAAAGACTGTGGGAAGTTCATCAAGCCTATTTTCTTATCTAGATATTTGAGGATGGAAATTGAGTTTTAGTTTAAATATTTTTCTTTTGCTTATCGTAAGCAGACTTGGATGGTATAAGTACCTGATGTCTGCTTTTCACCACCTAAAATCTTGGTCCCAACAGCTGTTCTTCTAACCCTTCCTGCTTAATTGTGGAATAATTGTTTATAATCATTAAGAGACAGGATTTGATTTCAGTAATGCTAATGGATATCTCTAGCCTCTTCCAGAAGCCAGAGCTCTTGCCCAACTCCTGGGCACAGCTGCCAGTCCTCCATCCTAGCAAGGTTCCTCTTTTCCATAAGTAGCCAGAAACATCTGGCTAAAGGCAGACAGCTACAAAGTGGAAGCCAAGATGCTAGGATCTGTTGTCACACATGGGGCTGGCAGCTCAGGGACTGCAGTTGGAGAATTCTGCTGGGGAGATGTGGTAATCCAATTAGTCCGTTGCTGTCCTGCTAAGGGGCTCAAGGCATCGCGCCAACTGCTGCATGCCTCATGACAAGAGCTATTTCTGAGGCCTCCCAATGAGGCTTTTTTGATTCTTAATAGGTACCATCTGCCACTAGTAGAGGGAGCTGAAATATCTAGAAAATTCCCATTTGGGAAGTGTTTCTCTCACCCAAGAGACAGAATCAAGGCATCTCAACAAGATTTTGCTCAGCCTAGTGTCCACTCAGTCTGCCTTTAAACCCCCATACTACAGAAAGGTTTCTGGTTTTCCAGGTCTTGGTTGCCTCTTACATCCAAACGTACCAAAACTCTCAGCAAATGTGCCTGAATTCAGTCATTGGAAGGGAAGACACCAGCTTTTTTGGATAGGTGTGCTGTACCATTTAAGGCAAGAAGTGAATTTCTGTCTGAGAACAGGGAATGAGGGTTTAATGGGACAGTAGAGCATCTCCCTCTTTGCATAGGTGGGTGTCTCCATCTATAATGTCAAGTTTTGGCCTTGAAGGAATGCTTTTGTGGATAATGGGCTTGTCCTGATGCTTCTCTACCCAGAATTCTCCTTCTCTTTGGTGTTACCTCTTGGAAATCACTGTGGTAATGTTCAGAGAGGTGAACTTGTTGGGCCAACAGGCATTCCCAGGAGACCATCCTCCAGAGCACTGATTTATTTTAAATTCTCACAAAGTGGCATCTCTCCCCAAGAGATGATCTCTTATGCAATCCCATGTGAAAACTTTTCTGAAAATGAATTGCTAATTGCTATTAGCCTTGGCACACTTATTCTAAGGAGTTCTTCAGACCTCTGGATCAGTGCTTCTCAAATTGTGGTCCTTGTACAACCTGCCTTAGAACTACACGGGGTTCTGGTTAAAATACAGGTCCACTTCAGACCTAAAGTCAGAATAAGAATGGGTGCTGAAGGGACCCAGTAACTATGTTGTTAAAACGAGCTTTCCAGATGATTCTGATACTTGAGTTTGAGAACTGCTGTTCTTAATATCTACTTTCCTTTATTTTAGGTTACTGCCCTCAGCCTCAACAAGGCAGTGACTGGGTCTCAGGTTTACTTGCCATGGTGGTTTTATGTGTGGTGCTTTGATCCTTTGCTAATTTTTTTTTTGTCTTTTTTCGTGACTGGTAAGGGAATTGCAACCCTTGGCTTGGTGTCGCCCGCACCACGCTCAGCCAGTGAGCGCACCGGCCAGTCCTATATAGGATCTGAACCCGCAGCGGGAGCGTTGCTGCGCTCCCAGCGCTGCACTCTCCCGAGTGCGCCACGGAGCCGGCCCAATCCTTTGCTAATTTTATTGCAGGCACAGTGATGGTGTTTTCTGTTTCCTACCAAACAGCTTTTGGCTGTCTGCACTTCACCTTCCATTTTTTCTCAGCTGTTGCTGTTTTCCAGGTTTCTCCCTTGAAGTCTATATGTGCAGGAGTCTTTTCTTCCCCACGTTGAGTCATTTTAATTTTTGTACTTATTTCTAGAATCTAAGGTCCTTTTGATTTTTCCCTTCTTTGATTACTAAGGCCAGCCTTAGTCCTCCCAATTTTATGATTGGCAAATTAGGAAAAATAAGACTGGACGTACGTTTCATCTCTCCCTTCCCTCTGTCCACTTGAGATGCCTGCAAACTGGATATGCTGCTCTCTGTAACTCAGAGTCTTATTTTCTGTCTGACTCCCTTTCACTTGAGCCGGCAAGGACTTTTTGTTAATTTGTTTTGTTTTTAAGTTAGGCTTTTAGAGACTGCTGGGCTAAAGTTGTACTGAATTCTCAAAACACTAAACCGCCTGTGTTCCCTCTTGGCTTTCATTTTCTAATTGGAACGAGGCACAATATTGTAACAGAAAACTGCAATTAATTTTCTAAAATAGTGGCAACTTGCATATTATAATGACTTTGGTTGTAACCAAGTGAGAGCATAATAACAAAAATACAAAATTACTAATAAAACCAGAAAGTCATATACCAAACTGTTCTTCCAGTTTGTATCACAGTAAGTGTGTCCTGTTACCTAGGAATTGGTGCAAAAATCAGCAACTGGGGCAGTGGGATTCAGGGACATAGGGGTGATGCTAGGGCATTTTGAGCTAGAAAGCAAGAATAGGAGCAGTGCTTTCAGCACAGGAATTACCATGTGTATACTCTTTCTCCCAGATGCACACATAGACACCTCCCCCCACCCATCCATACAGGTGGAGATTGTAGACATATAAGTAGTTTAGTAAGAACTGAAAAGGATCCTCACTGCATAATCCTGCAGATCCTAGAGGCACTAGGAACTTGAGTCTCTCTGGTGCTGGTTTGCTTTTCTCTCTGGTCATTTTATTGACAGAAGTAATGGACAAGAACAGCTTCATTTGACTTGGATGGGGGAAGAAGCTCTAGGACAGAAAGCAGTTTAGCTCCCCTTTTTCTGTGGAACAGCAGTATACTCTAAGGCAAAGCCTCAAATATGTAAAGGGCCAATTTTATTGAAAGCTTTTTCTTTGTGGCTATGTGGTAAAACTGTATTCAAGGGTTGAGTGTTACCCAGACAGATCGATAGTTTAGAGGATGTGTTAGAAAGAGAACATCTCTCTCTCTCCTTCTTCCTCTCCCCTTTTCTCTTTCCCTTCCACTCTCTTCCCTTCTTGACCCTAAGAGTTCTGCTGTTCAGTGGTGGGCTGTCCTGTATACACCTCCCTCTAGAGCTCCAGCAGTGCACATCCCCTCCATACTCAACAGGTCTTAGGCAGCAGAGAAGGAAAGCAGATATGTTGCCATTTTTTACAGACCCACAACCCATCTAAAGCTGGCTGAGCTTTAGTTCTCAATGTGTAGTCCCTGGGGACCACATTAGCATTACTAGGGAACATATTAGAAATGCTTATTCTTAGCCTTGCTTCAGACCTGCTGAA